CCTCCACCTCCCCCCCCCTCCCGACCACCACTTCCCTCTTTTTTAGATCGCGCGCACGAACACCATAACGATGTTTTTGCCTTTCACGCAAGGCCCGCCTCAGGTCTGAAAGGGCAAGTGGCACTGCACAGAGGGAGATATGCGGTAACAGTGCCTCATAATGCAACCCATCAACGAAAACGACGGAGGGAGGGCTGCCTGCCTTTTGTGGAGACCGGCTAACTAGCGCACCCCCAGCCAAAGTAGCCGTCTCCGTGAGTAATAGAGTTTGTTATTGTCTTCATTACTCTGTCACTCGAATGGCAGATGCTGGGTGTAAGTACATGCAGCAAGCTGGTGACACTGAAGGAAACGATCGTGCATGCAGCAGTGCCATTGGTGTGAAATCCAGCGACGCAGAGGGTACCTAAGCTCTGGGACACTCAGAAGAAATCAGTATTGTGTGCGTATAAATGAGTGGCTCGAAAGATATTCTTGGATTTTTAATGAAAGTGTTCAAGTTTTAGCGTTCGACGTTGTCAAAGCCCTTTACTGGGCACCGAGTGACTGTGGGTTAGTAGGGAATATCTGGGGCAGATAAGACAAATGTGCGTATTCCAACGAGCACTTCCCTGGGAATACATCGCTTCACCTCAAAATACGTATATGCATACAAGTGGACCTGATAAAATGTGCAGCGAAGAAGCAGCAGCCAAGGTGGTGAGCACACTGCGGCGGGCGGAACTCCGCTCGGGAGTCACCGCTGTCTGCTACACTGAGGCAAGGCGGTGGGTGGAAGCATGCTGCCTACATGCTGAATGTTTGCATGCTTTTTGCATGCGCACTGATTTATTTTGTGAAGACCTGTTTTGTTTCCGCTGCTCGACAGTTGCTCGGTTCCTTCGGCGGCGCCGCCTGAATCGATGACACCAGCTACCTTCGGTGAGTTGCTTTCCCTATTGGCTTTTTTAGACTGAATGATATTTCGGTGGACTATCCCTAAGAAGGCCCAATGTTCTGTACTATTTCAAGGCAAATTTTGTTTCTACCCCCTGTGGAGGTGTCATGCATCCACCAGGGGCAAGACCGACGAGGTCCTTGCGACCGCCTAGCAGAAGCTGTAAAGGGCCCTTCAAGCTTCTCTTACTCATTCACCTATGGTCAGGCATGTTAGCTTTATCTGGATTACCTGCTTCCTCCACAGAAGTAGGGCTGGCTTGGTCGTCTCGCGCACCCGGCCGCGAGTTGTTACGCGTCCTCCAACAGGGAGGCAACTTCGCCGTGACGACATCTGGAGGAGGTCAACCGCCTACTCCAGGAGGTGGGACATTATCGACTCCAGCAATTGGATCATCAGGAACAAGGGGTGGTCCACCTAGTTCCGGAGGCAGGCCGTCGGTTCCAGGAAGTGGACCCACTGGTCCAGCAGGCAGATCCCCTACCAGTGCAGGGAGTGGAACCGGCGTTCCCGGTGATAGCCCGGTAAGACTACGGGGGGGCTCATCTACCCCAGGAGGTGGGCGACAGTCCGATCTAGGAGGTGGGCAGTTGAGCCCAGGTGGATCAACTAGTCCAGGAGGCGGGCAGACTTCCATTCCAGGAGGTGGAGGACCATCTCGTCCAGGAAGTGGACTGTCTAGTCCAGGAAATGGAAGCCCCCCTAATCTAGGAGGTGGAAGACCATTCAGTCCAGGAAATGGACCACCTAGTCCAGGAGGAAGCTCACCTGGTGGAGGAAATGGAGGACCACCTGGTCCAGGAGGTGGAGGAACAGCCAATCCAGGAGGTGAAGGCTCACCTGGTGGAGGAGGCGGAGGCTCACCTGGTGGAGGAGGAGGCTCGCCTGGTACAGGAGGTGGAGGCTCACCGGGTCCAGGAGGTGAAGGCTTGCCTGGTGCAGGAGGTGGAGGATCAGTAGGTACAGGAGGTGGCGGCCGACCCACTGGAGGAGGTGGAGGCTCAGCTGGTGGAGGAAGCGGAGGCTTACCTGGCGCAGGAGGCGGAGGATCACCTGGTGGAGGTGGAGGCTCACCTGGTACAGCAGGAGGCAGCTCACCTAGTGAAGGGGGTGGAGGATCACCTGGTGGAGGAGGCGGAGGGTCACCTGGTGGAGGTGGAGGCACACCTGGTCCAGGAGGTGGAGGATCACCTGGCCCAGGAGGCGGAGGCTCACCTGGTGGAGGTGGAGGCTCACCTGGTACAGGAGGTGGAGGCTTACCTGGCTCAGGAGGCGCAGGCTCACCTGGTGGAGGTGGAGGATCACCTGGTGGAGGAGGTGGAGGCTTACCGGGTCCAGGAGGCGGAGGATCACCTGTTCCAGGAGGCGGAGGATCATCTGGTACAGGAGGCGGAGGCTTACCTGGACCAGGAGGCGGAGGCTTACCTGGACCAGGAGGCGGAGGCTCACCTGGTGGAGGTGGAAGCTCACCTGTTCCAGGAGATGGAGGATCAGCTGGCGGAGGAAGTGGAGGTGGAGGCTCGCCTGGCCCAGGAGGTGGAGGTGGAGGGTCAGCTGGTACAGGAGGTGGAGGATCACCTGTTCCAGGAGGCGGCAGCCTACCCACTGGAGGAGGTGGAGGCTCACCTGGAGGAAGCGGAGGCTTACCTGGCCCAGGAGGCGGAGGCTCACCTGGTGGAGGTGGAGGATCACCTGTTCCAGGAGGCGGCGGCCTACCCACTGGAGGAGGTGGAGGCTCACCTGGTGGAGGCGGTGGAGGATCACCTGGTGGAGGAGGTGGAGGCTCAACTGGTCCAGGAAGTGGAGGCTCACCTGGTACAGGAAGTGGAGGCTCACCTGGTACAGGAGGTGGAGGACCATCTGGCCCAGGAGGTGGAGGCTCACCTGGTACAGGAGGTGGAGGACCATCTGGCCCAGGAGGTGGAGGATCACCTGGTGGAGGAGGTGGAGGATCACCTGGTACAGGAGGTGGCGGCCGACCCACTGGAGGAGGTGGAGGCTCACCTGGTACAGGAGGTGGAGGCTCACCTGGTACAGGAGGTGGAGGCTCACCTGGTACAGGAGGTGGAAGCTCACCTGGTACAGGAGGTGGAGGATCACCTGGTGGAGGAGGTGGAGGATCACCTGTTCCAGGAGGAGGCGGCTCACCTAGTGGAGGGAGTGGACGACCACCCGGTGGAGGAGGTGGAGGTGGAGGCTCACCTGGCTCAGGAGGTGGAGGTGGAAGCTCGCCTGGCCCAGGAGGTGGAGGTGGAGGCTCGCCTGGTGCAGGAGGTGGAGGGGGAGGCTCGCCTGGCCCAGGAGGTGGAGGTGGAGGCTCGCCTGGTACAGGAGGTGGAGGATCTCCTAGCGGTGGTGGAAGACCGCCTGCTCCAGGAGGTGTAGGTCCATCTGGGCCAGGAGGTGGAGGATCGCCTGGCTCAGGCAGTGGAGGATCACCTGGTGGAGGAGGTGGCGGATCACCTGGTACAGGAGGTGGCGGATCACCTGGTACAGGAGGTGGAGCACCATCTATTCCAGGGAATGGACCATCGAGTCCAGGAAGTGGGTGGCCTTCACCACCACTGTGGGACCCAATTCCACCAACCTGGTACCCTCCATGGTGGTTTCCGCCTTTTATGCCGGGCGACCGTCTTCCAGTTGGCCCGGACCCACGTCCACCTTACGGTCCAGACATTCGTCCTCCTATTGATCCAGATGCCCCGCCTCAGGCTGGCCCTGGCATTCGCCCGCCTGAAAGTTCAGGAACGCGTCCACCATTAGGCGGGGGGACTCGGCCCCCAATGGGTCCGGCAATTACTCCTCCTGGTTCAGAAACCCGTCCACCATTCGGCCCAGGAACTCGCCCGCCAGCTGACTCTGACACGATTCCTGTTGTTCCAGGCACCCGTCCACCATTCGGCCCAGACACTCGCCCACCTACTGGCTCTGGCACTACTGTTGGTCCAGGCATCCGTCCCCCATACGGCCCAGACACTCGCCCGCCAGCTGACCCTGACGCGACTCCTGTTGTTCCAGGCACTCGTCCCCCATTCGGCCCAGACACTCGCCCACCTACTGGCTCTGGCACTACTCCTGTTGGTCCAGGCGCCGGTCCACCATTCGACCAGGACACTCGCCCACCAACTGGCCCTGGCACTACTCCTCCTACTGGTTCAGAAACCCGTCCACCATTCGGCCCAGGCAGTCGCCCACCAACTGGCCCTGGCACGACTCCTGTTGTTCCAGGCACCCGTCCACCATTCGGGTCAGGAACGCGCCCGCCAGCTGACCCGGGCACGACTCCTGTTGGTCCAGGCACCCGTCCACCATTCGACCCAGACACTCGCCCACCTACTGACTCTGGCGCTACTCCTCCTACTGGCTCAGGAACCCGTCCACCATTCGGCCCAGACACTCGCCCACCTACTGGCTCTGGCGCTACTCCTCCTACTGGTTCAGAAACCCGTCCACCGTATGGCTCAGGAACTCGCCCACCTACTGACTCTGGCACTACTCCTCCTACTGGTTCAGAAACCCGTCCACCATTCGGCCCAGACACTCGCCCACCTACTGGCCCTGGCACTACTCCTCCTACTGGCTCAGGAACCCGTCCACCGTTCGGCTCTGACACTCGCCCACCTACTGGCTCTGGCACTACTCCTCCTACTGGTTCAGAAACCCGTCCACCGTACGGCTCAGGAACTCGCCCACCTAATGGTTCTGGCACTACTCCTCCTACTGGTTCAGAAACCCGTCCTCCGTATGGCTCAGGAACTCGCCCACCTACTGGCCCTGGCACTACTCCTCCTACTGGCTCAGGAACCCGTCCACCGTTCGGCTCTGACACTCGCCCACCTACTGGCTCTGGCACTACTCCTCCTACTGGTTCAGAAACCCGTCCACCGTACGGCTCAGGAACTCGCCCACCTAATGGTTCTGGCACTACTCCTCCTACTGGTTCAGAAACCCGTCCTCCGTATGGCTCAGGAACTCGCCCACCTACTGGCTCTGGCGATACTCCTCCTACTGGTTCGGGAACCCGTCCACCATTCGGCCCAGACACTCGCCCACCAACTGGCTCTGGCGCTACTTCTCCTACTGGTTCAGACACTCGTCCACCGTATGGCTCAGGAACTCGCCCACCTACTGGCTCTGGCACTACTCCTCCTACTGGTTCGGGAACCCGTCCACCATTCGGCTCTGACACTCGCCCACCTACTGGCTCTGGCGCTACTTCTCCTTCTGGTTCAGACACTCGTCCACCGTATGGCTCAGGAACTCGCCCACCTACTGGCTCTGGCACTACTCCTCCTACTGGTTCGGGAACCCGTCCACCATTCGGCCCAGACACTCGCCCACCAAC